CCGCAAGGCAGTTGGAATTTTCAGTTGCATAACATACCTCATAGGGGAGAGGAGAATGGGTAACAATGGTTACCACTCTCCAGGTGACGGCTACAGATAACTCACACATACAAATGCTCTTCAGGTAGCAGAGATCAGTCCCTCTGGAGAAAACAGTGGACTCCAGTGTTCCCTCTAAGCTGAGTTAGTGTGAGCTAGCTCACAGTTTTTTAGCCTCCGGCTCACACATTTTTGTCTCAGCTCAGGAAGGATGGCTCCAGAACACACTAATTTATGCAGTAGCCAAATCACCTGCTCACAACTTTAATACCGGTAGCTCACAAAGTAGAATTTTTGCTCACAGGACTCTACAGCTTAGAGGGAACATTGGGCGAGAGGGAGAAGGCTGTGCGTATGTGTTCCTGTTTTAAATGTTTTTTTACATACATATGGGTGTTTTTCATCTTGGTTTTATTGTTGGCCACCTTGGGGAACCTAAGTTGGGTGGAAAGGCAGCATAATAGTGTTTTGAATAAAAATGGAGTCAGTAGCTGGCTTATAGTGGCATTGCCTTCCATGGATTAGAGTCAGCTTCATCAGCCGCATTCGCTGCCAATGACATTTTCTCATTTGCGGTGGGACACTTCACCTCGTGGGCAGAGATGTCAGCCTCCAACAACTGGTGCTTCTTCAGGAGATTGTTCACAGATGCCAGGTCCTTCCCATAATCTTCAGAGGCAAGGAGTGCTTCCACCTATGGAAGGAAAAGAGCCCGGCTTTGTCATGCTTTGTGATGGAAGCACTGCAGAAGTTGTGCTTTTAACCTGTTAAAAGTGTGCATTTTTCCCCTACTTCACAACTTTAATTCAAGCAGATGGACCTGTCTACCTCCAACGCAATCAAGGTTGCAGTATAGGAATGCTCAGCTCACATTGCTTTAATTTAAACAAATTTTTCAAAACAAAGGCGATCCACCTAAAAACAAAAAAAAATACATGCCTGCTTTCCATAACCAGCAAATGGTTTTTCTACAGTATGATGTATTCTAAAGGCAACTCAAATCAGAGGAGGAGTTGGGCTACCTCCGACAGCCAGAAGTCGAAGTCCTTGATCCCAGTGTTGAAATTCTGCTGTTTGTTGGCTTCCTTCAGTTTCTGGCTCTTCTCTGCCGATTTCTGCACCAGGAACTGCCACTGGTCAGCCAGAGCGGCCAAGCGAACCTAAGACGAGGGACAGAAAGACACTCACAGGCAAGAAATGAAAACAAGATCCCTCGCAAGTGACACCTGGGGGGGGAATGCATGTTCGCCTGGTTATGCCACACTGAACGGTCAGGGAACACTTAACGGCGGATCGCCTGGGGCAAATAACCTAGTCCATACAACCAAGCTGGGAAGCAAGAATGATTTAGAAGAGAGCTCACCCACCCCACCCCAATTTCAGACTATGAATTACTAGTATAGGAGTGCACTGGGAAGTGGGCCAGTAAATTAACTTTTTATGGTCTAATGACATCCGTGGACTGGCTAGCAAGGCCAGGGTGACGTACGCCCTAAAATCCGCTCTGCTTATTGGCGCTGGCATCTCCCCATTCTACACTACCACTGGCATGCTTCAGTCGACAGTTGCTGGGTGCAAAGGACAGTTATCAGCCAATCTTATAACATGCTTGAGGTGAATCACTGGGTTCTCCACAGCTTCAGGAATCCCACTGTATAAGTGTGCGCTCCCTTCTAAATGCCCCAAATCTTTAGTCAGCTTTTCCCGGAAGTGAGGCTCTGAGACACACAAAGCCTCCTAAGAAAGGATTTCTTCCAGCCTACTCCCCTCTCTGGAGTCAACCAGACCTTATAGCACCATCTCCTAAGAAGTTTATTATTTTAGCCTAATTTCTCTCAAAAGCCAGATTCTGAGACAAGACAGTCTCCTGTGAAAGGAATCCTCCAGCCTAACCCTCCGGGGGTAAAAACCCTCCCTGACCAGAACTGGTCGTTAAAGGGTTTTTTCTATCCACTCCCCACTCCCATCTGGCCTTCCGTGGGTCCTGATTGGCTGTTAGCTGCTCTGGCGCGCACCCCCCCCCGACACAGAGAGGATTGGTGGATACCTAAATCTAGAATCTCCCAACATGCAGAGGATGGGTGTAACGATATGAGCTTATGTTTGTTCCCAAACAGACACAGAGAGGATTGGTGGGTACCTAAATCTCCCAACACGCAGAGGATGGGGTCTGCAATTACCCTTTGTTAAACAAGGATTAAAAAACCCAATGTAGGCCTTTCTCCCCCACTTCTCTGTTTTGGTAGATTAAAATACCCAGTGGCTGGGGAAAAAAATTCTTGTGGCTCAAATCAAATTGGATCATGAGGAGGTTAATTAAAACACACCATCTTCTATGACAGGAGGAGTCCCGTCCTAATTTGTACAACAGACAAGAGAACTTCAACGAGAGCAGCTCATTTCAGACGACAACACCCACCTTGACGGCGTCTTCACTGCCAGCACAAGCTCCGCGGTCAATGAGGGTATTCCCCACATCGATGACGCCACGGATCCGGTCGGCATTGGCATGGAGCTCGGCCTCAAAGGCCTGGTGCTTCTGATGTTTGCTCTGAAAGGAACAAAAGCCGCAGCAGCCCATTAACAACAAGCACCAGCTCTCAGACTGAGCCTTGTGTGGACAGTGCCTCCCTGAGAGGACATGCCTGGTAAAAACAGGAAGGATGATCCACTGGATCGAAACCAGAAGCTGGTGAGCTTGTGCTAATTCCCATCCAGAAGAAGAATGTTGTGGAATTTCAACCCAACCTCTTTCTCCAAGCCACCTATATCTATATCTAGATAATGTAATATATTAATATAATATATATTTTCTCTGTGTGTATTCCCCTCTTAGTGTTATCATAAGAAATTCTACTTGTCGGGGGAATAGTATTTCTGACTAGGAAGGAGAAAACAATGAACCTTGTTTCTTTATATGTACTGTTTTTAAAAGCTGATTTTTTTTATTCTCTCACTGCTCACCGCCTTCAGGACCCTAAATTGGGCAGAAAAGGTAAAGGTCCCTATTTATCTACTTGCAGTTTCTTGCTTTCGAACTGCTAGGTTGGCAGGAGCTGGAACTAGAGACGGGAGCTCACCCCGTCTTGCGGCAGAAAGGCAGCATACAAATATTTTAAACACGTAAATAAGTACTTCCAAGCCCCTGAAGGTTTCGTTGTAATCCTGGAACAGACTACAAGTCTGAACTGGAGGCTCCAAAGCTGTGGGATGGGGTTGCTACCTTTGCCTCTCTCCGCCAATCTCTCTCCAGGATTTCAAAACCAACAATTTTGTCCTTTAAAGCACTTGAACTCAGAGAAGCCGTTCTCTTGTGGGTGCCTGGGTTTGGAAAACTGAGGCAATTCTATTGCGGGAGAGGATTTCAGCAGCAAGCTCCACTGAACTCTGGCGCTTAAAAAGTTCAAGGTTGCTCTAGGGGTTGCAGAAAAGGGTTTCCAGGCGCTCTAAGGGGACTTGAGAACGAGACAATCCTTGCAGGAAATTCATGAAGGCACAGCCGCCCAAAACGGCTTTAAAGGCACAGAGCCAGTCATAATGAAAATATAGAAACAGAACTGAGACTTGACCCTGTATGGGGAAGGAGAAGGGACTAGGAGTGACAGACTCTTCTAGAAAGTTCTGGGTTTGCTGCTCGGGCATGTGGGAAGAGTTACCTATCCAGAGATGCCCTCTCCCACCAACACTCTCCTGCTGCAATAGTATCCAAAGTGCATTGAGAGTCAGTCTGGTGTAGTGGTTAAGTGTGCAGACTCTAATCTGGGAGAACTCGGTTTGATTCCCCACTCCTCCACTTGCAGCTGCTGGAAGACCTTGGGCAAGCCATAGTTCTGTCGAAGCTGTCCTTGAAAGAGCAGTTTCTGTCAGAGTTCTCTCAGCCCCACCTACCTCACAGGGTGTCTTGTTGTGGGGAGGGGAAGGGAAAGGAGACTGTAAGCTGCTCTGAGACTTTGAGTGAAGGGCAGGGTATAAATCCAATCTCCTCCTCCTCCTCTCTTCCTCCATTAGACTGATGGTCTCTCTAGCTCTGACCTGAAGTAGCTCTCCAAGGCCTCTCACAGTCGGACCATCCGAGGTGCTTTAAATGGGGACAGCAGGGGCTGAACCTGGAATCTCGTGTGTGTGAAGCATGATCTCTGTGGGGTATTATGACTTCTCTGTTCACACAATGAGCCAAACACTGCAACCGCAGACTAAGACTTCTGTTGACATTTCGTCTCTCTCCAACAGAATAAAAGGAGCATGATAACGAGAGGGCACGGGAGAGGGTAAATATGGGTCATGCATATTCCAAAAGCAAGCATAAATGAAAGGAAATCAAATGACAAGACAGCATTTCACAAATGCCAAATAAAAAGACTGACAACACCTGACATGTGGCAAAATGTCCCGCGCTGCAGGGCAGCAGCAGAAAAACAAAACATGGAAAGCTCTACAGCACTGCCATCAAGAATTCTGCATGAACCTCTCTGTCCTGGAAGACAGCTGTTGCTAATAGCTGGCATTGCCTGGTTCACCATCAAAGGCTGCACTGCAATTTTCACTTAAATTCAGCATTCCAAATGAGAAAGAGAGAGAGAGACAGAGAGAAGACTGATCTTTTTATCTCATAGAAACTGCCATTAGCACAGATTCAAATTTTTCATTTGGATTTCATGAGCCTGTTCACAAAATGGGCAGGGTATAAATATAATAAATAAATAAAAATCTAAGCAACAGATAATGCCCTGGACATGCCTAAGTGGTCATATAATTGGTTGGGCCTCAGATGCCAGAGACATGGAGACCATTTTCTTCTCATGTGCTTCCATCTTTGCCATTCCCTCTGCGTTCTACTGAATGTGGCCCAAGACTCATAAGTGTACCCTTGGAAGTAATAGGGAAGATCTCACACATCCTTAACAATAACTAGTGCTAAGCTAATATACAAGAACCAGCCCTTCTTTCCACTGATCTTTTGTTTGCTTAACTCTGAATTCAGGAAAACATTAAGTATTTTCAGATGAATCATCTGTCCTCATTTTGACTGAGTTCTATTTGCTGTTTCCTTGACTACAGGAAGTGTCCTAGGAATGCTGGAGAATCCCTGGTCTAGTTTACAGTCATTCTGCTTCTGGCAACAGTCCTCAGCTTCACAGCAAGTGGTAACGAGCCACCTAAGCAATGGGAGTACACTCAGTCTCTTGCTGTTTATTCCCCATTTTACAGAGTCAGGAAGGGAGATGGTGTTTCATTTGGAAAATCTGGCCAGCAGCAATTATTAACTTCCTCGGGAATCTAAGGCAAGAAGTACAGAGTTGACCTTACTCAAGGGAGAGGGAAGACAAGGAAAGGCATAGAGAAGTTGATTTCAACCAGGAAATGACAGAAAAGAGTCATGGGTGGACTTAATTCTCTGAACATACTTCAAGGGGAAATGAGGAGGCCCTGGATGGAGAGCTCCTCTGGCCACCACCCAAAATGGTGATTAGCAGGGTAAGGCAAAAACACCCTTTCGGCAGACAGGAAGAGAGGGAGATTCCTCAGATGAGGCTTATAAAAGCAGCAGATGCAACAAGGGCCAAATGGATGCTGAGACGACCTACTGGTCCAGTGTCTGTGGACAAACTCTGCAGCCACTGGCAGCAGCAACTGACAACTCCAATTGCACCGCTTTAGTACCGAGCAAACAAGCGTTGGTTTGCTCAAGCCACGGCCCTACAAATCCCCTGTAATAGAAGAATGGCCTCAGGGAAGCAACTTAAAGTGCTACAGCTTCTAAAGGGATGGGCAGCAATCCACCTTCTTCGTGACTGATGTGCCAAACTAATGTAGCTTGAGATCCACCCAGCCGAGTTATCCCGAGAGACCACAACTCCTAAATATCTCTACAGAGCCAGTCTGATGGCGTGGTTAAGTGCGCGGACTCTAATCTGGGAGAACCGGGGTTGATTCCTCACTCCTCCACTTGCACCTGGCTGGATGACCTTGGGCAAGCTGTAGTTCTGATAAGAGCTGTTCTTGAAAGGGCAATCCTGGAAAGAGCTCTCTCAGCCCTGCCTACCTCCCAGGGTGTCTGTTGTGGGGAGGGGAAGGGAAAGGAGTTTGTAAGCCACTCTGAGACTCCTTCGGGTAGTGAAGGGCAGGGTAATATCTTCTCTTCTTCTTCTTCCTCTTCTTGGCGTAGTGGTTAGGAGTGCGGACTTTAATCTGGAGAACCAGGTTTGATTCCTCATTTCTCCACATGTAGCTGCTGGAGTGACCTTGGGTCAGTGACAAGTTCTTTCAGAGCTGTTCTCTCAAGGGCAGTCCTCAAAAGAGTTCTCTCAGCCCCACCTACCTCACAGGGTGTCTGCTGTGAGGAGGGGAAGGGAGAGGAGTTTGTAAGCTGCTCTGAGACACCTTTGGGTAGTGAAGGG